TTCTGTGTTAGCTGTAAAAATAATGTTATGAATTTCGATACTGGTTGTCATGTACAAATTATTAAAAAGTTATAATGCATTACGAAAAACATTTGGTGGCAGCAGCATCCTCAAATGAAAATGTTTTCAGACATTTAAAATTATATCTGAAGTTTCACAACTCCATTTTAATCTAAATTCCCTAAACGACCCCCCCCCCGAATTCTTTGGCAGGTTGTTTAATTTACATTAAAAATTTCTAATTTTATGAATATCTGTTATTTTATATTTTCGCTTGGATTTTTCTTCAACTTAAAGATATTGTAAATATTTTCTGATTTCGACTTTTTCGGCAAATCATCGTGGGCAATATCTGAATCTGATGTCTGTAACAGAACAGTACTTAGCAGAATGCAGTATAGGATAACTTATTTTATATCTAATGATATCATTGAAAATATTCAGGAGGAATGAATGCCGATCCAATAATTTTGCCTTTAAGGTACCAAGTTCTTTTTTTTTTTTATTGAAGTGCTGAATTATTATGATTTTTTTAAAGAAAGAATTTAATGCACATGAATATAAATTACAGGATATGGTATCTGACAAAAGAGTCGGAATTAAATTCTTCCAAGCCCTTCAGGGGCTTACTTTTGTGAGTACAGGTGTGGCAATCCCAAAGTACCCTAGCTCTTCAGCTGATCATCAACTTCGTGAGACGGGTGTCACGATCCTGGAACCCCAGTGATCTATCCTCTCTTCTGTTTCCTCTCCTCTGAGCTGAAACTTTTTTATTTAACTTCTCCCTTGTGGTTTTCCTCTTCGGAAGTTGGCGCTCATCACAAGAAACTAGAACAGCACTTGTCTCTCTCTAGTTTTCAAGTTTCGAGAAAACTGCTCACGTGTTTGGCATGTGTGGAGACCCGTGTCGCTGGAAAGGAGGGTCCTGGTAGTTGAGGGGCGAGGTACTGTCCCCAACATACTGCTTTGGCCTCTGTTTCAGCTAAACGGGAGGCGCTTTGTCATCCTCACAGGTGTCAATTGGCTGGTCGCTAGTCCTTGTGTCAGTGTCTTGGGGATAAGCTCTTAGGAGTACCTGCTTTGGGGAAAGCTGACTGTGGCGCTTCAGTATGCGTATTATAGACCTGGTTAGCTCTGGCGCTGGAATCTGCATCCCCTTGTTGGACTATGTGGAGGGTGGGGCTGTTGGTTCCGAATCTCTCTCCTTTTCATTTTCATTATGAACTCTTTAATTGAAACTTGCGTGCCAGAGCAAAAAACTAATTCTACAAAAAAAGTAAAAACCTATGTAAATGCTTATGAGGATGAACGAAAATTGCTACCTCGATTTATTGTTATAAATAACACAACAGACGAAATTAAAAAACTGTCACCTTTTTTAATACAAAAACTTATACAGTCATGTGCTGGGAAACCTAAAAATATTAGAAGATTTTGCTCAGGTGATCTTCTAGTTGAAGCTGTATCTTCCAGCCAATCTGCAACCCTTCTCAGTTTAAACAAATTGGGAAATGTAAGTCTCACCTCACAAAACCTTGAATTATAGCTGTGGAGTGATATCAAAACTTGATCTTCTCTGTGTTTCAGAAGAAGAATTCGAGACTGAACTCTCCCAAGGTGTGCAGAAAGGGTCCAAACAGCAGATTTTATGCTAAAATATTAAAAAATTCTTTAATAGTCTTGCCATTATTCAAGAAATTTAACATGGATTTTAAAAATGATGGACGTACAATTTGGAGGAAAGAATAACATGGATACATTAGCTTTGACTAAAATTTTAAGTGAAGTATGAGCTGAACAATTATCTACAATCAGGACAATTTTTGCATCATCAGGTAAATCAACCGAATTCAAATTTTGCCGAGCCTAGGGTATGAAATGATTTTCAAACCAATCGTACATCAATCAACGCTTGTGTCGTCCGTGCTCTTTTATTTGCATGATATATAGCAGGGAAAATCTTTACTCCTTCAAATGCTTGAGGTCGTGTATTATTTTTTCTGATTACAAAAAGTTTACCCTTGTACGTTCCTGCAGCATTTGCGCATGCTAAAATTGTTGGTTTAGCTTTGGAATCTTTGACACCAGTTGGAGACATTTCTGTAGATGTAGCCAGGGTATTTCATTGTACATATTGCCAGAAAAGACCAGTTTCATCAGCATTCTAAATTTGTCTTGCAGATAACGTTTCACTATTAATGAGTTCAATGGATTCATCTGCAAACAGTTCAGCAGCTTCAGTGTCAGCTGAAGCTTCTTCACTGAAACATTTTAATTGCATTATACCAGGTGATTTTAAAATTTGGTTAACCAGTCTGTGGAATATGTGCACTTAGTTTTTTAAATTCCTTTCTTCATGAAATATTTTGGCTTGAGCCATTAGCATTGGACCCATCAATGGCACATCTTCACTGTTACGCTGTCAGACCCATTCAATCATCACTTTGTCACTATAGTCACTTTTAGCATAACGGATAATTTTTCTGTTATTCATTGCATGTGCACTGTCGGAATCCACAAAAATTCATAAAGTTCCTTTTTCTGTTTTGTCATATACAGTTGACTTTCCAATGTCATACTCCTCGCATAATTTTGAGATGGATATACCTATATCCTTTTTTTTTACAGCAATTCCACTTTTTGTTTAATGGACATCAAAACACGCTTTCTATTTGTATACCCTGTTATGGGTCTAGAATTAGAAACTCTTTTCGAAATAATCGAAAGTTCAAACTTAATTTTCATAAAATTGCTGTTATAACATTCTGAAAAAAATAATAAGCTGGATCAAATAAGAAAGTTAAGGAACAGTGTAGTCTGCTATATTAACTGAAATTCTTTGGCATCAGTAATGTATAATTTTAGAGTACCTTAATTACTGGCTATGTAGCATGAGATTGGCGACTAAAGACAAATTGTTCCATTAAATTTGATCTTGCATTCTATCGTGCACTGAGGCAGTTAAGCAAGAATTGTATTAATTTAGTGATTTATTATACTTGCGTCTGTTTCATGCACATGCTTGAGGCTTATCTGAGTCCTGAATAAATTAATTCCCACATATACTTAAGCGCACTGATGGCTGAGGCTAGATATTTTGCTGCCTGATGCAGTCTCTGCGGGTCCTAAATTTTGCTACCATGCCCATCCATAAGCTCTAAATTTTTGAAGCCCTTTAATTTAGAATCCCAGTGCTTTTCCTAAATTCTAAAAATTGTATCACCGCTTAATTTTGTTGCTCGGTGCTTCTTTAACCCTTTGAGCGGCACTGGATTTTAGATCCATCATAAAGACCGGCATTTAATAATTGAGTTTGTATAATAACTTATTTTAGTCCGTACATTCATTAAGATGGTATTTACATTATTAAAGAAAGTAAGAAAGCAAAATATATTATAAGCTAATATATGCCAAGTAGCAAAACTTCTGATCACCCGATAAAGCCGGTCATAATGCTCAGAGGGATTAATTCCAAAAAATGTTCTCTTCCATAAATTGTCACTCAGCGTGGCCATATGAGCTCTGATGCCGGTTCTGGGTTTATGTAAATAAAAAAATCAGGTATTAATTCAAATAGCACTAATTGTAATCTTTTGGCCTATGAATATCATTAACAAAATCTATTTTTAGCATATGGAAAGAATTTTTTGTTAAATTTTTACTCATCAGTATTTAGCGCATTTAACTTAAATCTGTAATCATCACCAAGCATAATGTCAACATCCAAAGGTTTCCATACTCTTTGTTATTCAGTTGCTAATATAAAAGAATTGTTTAGGTATCGCTGTATGCCATTACTCAAGTTTTCATGTGTTGATAAACATGCTGGGATGAAAGCAAAATATAATAAATGATTTGCTAGGTTGGCGTCAAGGGCGTAAAATTACTAATGTTTATAAAATCAATGATGTTTTTATGTAGAATGTTTCGGTTTGAGATGTATGCCAAGCAGATACGTAGCTACGGAGCCAAATTATTGATCACACAAATTTATGTTAAAATGACTGTTTCTTCAGTAACGATCTATTTTATTTAGTGCTGAAGTGAAATTAAGAATCAAGACTCTCCACATGTTTTATTATGTGCGGAAGGGGGGAATCAAATGTGCATGCGTAAAACATAATTTTTTTAAATTTTTTATTAGTGGCTTTAAAGTCTGCATTTCAGGTCATTCCTGATATTGAACATCCGGATCTTTGCACTGTATTTACTTTCAGAAGTTCGCAAACCATGGGATTACCGCAAAAACGTTTTAAGTGTGTAATATGTTTTTCTTTTGTTGCCATATTCATGAACACATCTTTTTAGGAATTAGAAACTGTTGCCATCAAACTGAGAAATATTAGTACAAAATTTTGGTTTAAAAAATCATTCATATTTTTATTTACATTGAATTAATTATGAAGTGACCCATTTTCCTCTGTGATCCATTTTATCCCACACTACCCTGTACTTCTAAGAGACATTTTAATATTTAATTAACCCTCTGAGTGCCATTGCTGGCTTTATCCAGTCATGAGATTTTTTGTTACTTGGCATATCCTAGCTTATAATTTAAGATATTTTGCTTTCTTACTTTCATTGCTAATATAAATGCCATCTTAATGAATGCAAATTTATGAAAATAGAGACTAAAATAGATAGATATATAAATACTAATAAAGGCTCTTTAGATACTGGTTTTCATGACAGATCCAAAAACCTGGGCTGCTCAGAGGGTTAAGAACATCATTTTAAGCCCTCTTTGTGTGTCTGATGACTAGCATTCTCATGATTATAATGAAACAATTCTATTTATAAGTAATACCATATTTTTTATTGTTTTTGGGTGCTAACTTTATCTTTTAGCATATTTCTGCACGATTTTTTCACTTTTGATGACAAATTTCAGTGCAGTAATGTTCTTGGCTTCCTTTTCTGTCATTATGCAAAAAAGTCACAAAAAAACTACATTTGTTCCAAAATAAACACTAATCAATTTTTTTTACCTGACTGATTATAACAATTTTCTTTTTTTATTTTGCAGAGCGAGCCTATTCTGCTCATTTGATAAAGAAGTTACATGAGAGAGGAAGACTAAATGCAGAGTATATAAAATTTGCTATCAACAGATATGTCAAAGAGTTGGATTTTAAAATGTTTGATAGTTCATGCTGGGAAGTTCTTATAGAAAAAGTTATTGAGATTGCTGAGGTATAATAATGTTTCTTTTTGTATATTACATAAAGTATTTATGTAGTAACTTGCAGTAAGATCTTGATAAATTTCACTTAAAGTTTGAGACATTTTGAGAACTTAAATGTAGTAATGATAAAAATATAATACTATCCAAAATTTAGGTAACAACAACAAAACATGATATCTTGCAAAATAATTGGTTTATTGTAATGAAAATTTGTATACAAAGGCACAGTACTATGAAACAGTGGTTAGTAGCATAATAAAATAAACAGGAGATAAGTATTTTGCAATGTGTATGTGTGTGGGGAAACCTGAGTACTTTCCCAACCATTCTAGAAATACAAAGAAAACACTTTGTATTTCTAGAATGGTTGGGCAATAAGGAGTGTAGCTACCTTGTACAACTTTGTATGTCTCAGAATGTGCTTTACTGTTTTTTTGTATTCTTGTGGCCATAAATCCCATTCTTTCTGATGGGAAGAATTTTAATTTCCAAAAATTCCTGGAAGAGTTCTGATGTCATATAGTTCCTCTTCATAGAATATCATAAACATGGTCTGTAGGATTTAGATCCATAGGTGACCTCATTGGCCACACTGTACAGCGAATGTTTTCTGTAAAAAATCATTAAGGCTTTGCACACAGCTTGCCATCCATAAAAAAGTGTTTAACAGCTCTCTGGAAAAGATTCACATAAGGTTAAACAATTTCATCCCTCTAATGCTGTGTGGTCAAAGTGGCCACATCAAAGACATGCCCTAGTGAATGACAGGGCCGGTCCTAGGCGGTAGGCAATTGCCTATGGCAGTAAAACCAACTGAACTACCACAAAAATAAGAACTCAAAAAATATATATTGCGATTGCCTGAATCTATAAAATAAAGGAATAGTAAAATAAATACTACAGAAATCGACAGGCTTCTGACCATATATTATATCCATCTGCTGTATTCTGAGATGCACAGGGGTGTTTGTGCTCCAGGGAAAACCCCGGAATTTCGGGGATTTTGAACTTCGATACCCGGAAATTCCGGGGATCGTCGTTGAAAAGGAAGTAGGAATAATAATGAATTATTTATTTTGATCTGGGTAATTTTGTTTGTTTTGAAAGCAGAAAATGCAAGGTCAGTGTGTGTGGTGAAAACTTTTCCTTTCTTTCTCCAAAGCAGTGATAATGCGTGAAAAGGGGGAAAAACTTCTTTTTTGTTCTTTCCTTATTGCGAGTTATGACTCATTCCTGCGGTTCTCGGACATTCTCTTCTGGATTCTTTTTGGCAAGTAGGCGCGGCAGAAAAAAAAGGGAGAGACTTCGTTCGACCAGATGTGCGATCACTTGACTCTGAGTTCAAAGGTCTTATCTCTCCTGGCGTGGCGCCAATAAGTAGAGAAGGGGGATTTTTCGCCGTACTAGCTATTTGTCATTGATTGCTTCTCACCTTTTTTTTCTCCACTGTGTAAAATTTTCGTTTCATTTATTGATGCACGTGTAAATTTTTCGTTTCGTTTATTGAAATATTTTTTTATTTATGTACGCAAGAGAATTTCACTATGAAATTTCTTGATATAAATAGTGATATTATACAATTAGAAGAAGGTGTCTGGAATGCATTTAGGTGGAATTGGATTGAACGGAGAGATGGTAATGGGGATACCATCGGCACATGGTGCAAGAAAATAAATGTTGCTGGACAAGCATATTGTGTTTTTTGTAACTGTGGATTGTAATTGTGTTTTTTGTAACTAAAGATCTGTGGGATGCTCTTATTGCATTTTATTTTCACTACTTGGATAAAACTGATAAAGGGGATTATTTTTCTTATGTTGAAACTGTATACAATAAAAGAAATATTTCTGCAGCTCAGAAAAAAAATGTTGAAGGGGTGTATTCTTGCTTGCATTCCCAACAACTCACAAAGGATGCTTTAGCTCGGAAAAAAAGAATACTAAATGGGTTATTTGTTATGCAAAACAAAACTTTATTGCATATGGCATTATATTCAGCAGTATTACCAGAGTTCAACACATATATTAAATTATTTGAAACAAAAAAAACCAATGCTTCATTTAATACATTCCAGTATTTATAAATTGATGGCAAAATTTTTCTCTTTTTTTATGAAGCCAGAAAATATGGAGTGCACATCTTATAATGATTTATTAAAGGTTGATGTCACAAATCCAGAATTCCATCTACCTAGCAAAGTAATATTTACTGGTGCAGAAGCTTCCACTCTCCTGAAGAAATTATCAAAAAATCATCCAATAGCAAAAGAATTCCAAATTTCTCTGATGAAAGCTTATACTAATACAGCACAGCATATGAAACAGAAATTGCACCTTAAAAATTCATATCTAATTAGTTTTACAGCATTAGATCCAGAGCTAAGAGGTAAAACCAGTACAATATTAGTTTTTGAAAAATTATCATCTTTTATGTCCCATATTTTTAGTGATAATGAAAAGTCAAAAGTAGAAGCTGAAATAAGGTCATACCAGAGTGATATTGATATCACCAAAGAAATGCTCTACACATCTGATGAAAGTGAAAATCAAGTCAAGTGTACAATTGATAAATATTGGTCTAAAGTTTTTAATTTAAAAGATGATTTCACAAATGATTATAAGATTCCTACATTGGCTAAATTGGTCAAAACCTGCCTTAGCTGCTTCCATGGCCCATTAGTGGAAAGTGCATTCAACTTAATGGATACACTTGTCACTGACTGTAGAACCTCTCTTAAGATTGATTCCCTAGATGCAGTGCAGACTATTAAATATGATTTAATGGCTTCTAAAGAAACCTCATGTGAAAAATATGGCTAAAAAAATCCAATGACTGATCCAATTCACAAAGATCTCTTACTGAATATGAACAGAAGTTGGAAAACATATCAAGAGGACTTAAAAACATGTATTTCAGATGAGTCACCTATAAAAGTCTCTGAAAAACCTTCTACATTAACAGAAAAGCAAACTGCTTCTACCTCTGCATGTGCAGTTCTCGAGGAAATTTCTTCAACTGTAAATGAGGAAAATAAAAGTCAAGCTTCCTGCAATTATGAAGTTCACCACAAAAGAAAGACAAGCCCACAAACATCAGAAAATAAAAAAAAGCAGCAGAAATTAGATATTTTTTTTAAAAAATTAATTCAGGTAATTTAAAATATTTACATAAAATGTAATAGTTTATATGTTTGAAAATTTATGGTTATTAATTTTGCAAAAAAAGTAATTCATTGAACTTTTATAATTAGGTCATTCAATACTTCATAATTATAATTTTTCATTTCTCTCCCCCCCTTCTCGAAACTCCAAAATGTCGGTAGTAAGTCCGTAAAAGTTTCAGGGGATTTTTTTGGGTCCCACAAACACCCCTGAAGAATAGACAAGCTTCTAAGTTCTGGGTAGGGGGTATTTGTATGCGACTGTGTGGCACAATGTGAGAAATGTGTACCTGCCACTGACAAAAATTAACAAGCATTTTATGCCATCTAATAAAAGAGCGTCAGATTTAAAACAGTGCTTTATTTATGCAGTAACGTCCATTCAGTCCATTTGGATTTGGTAGTGTTGCAATTTTTCTAACATTTACAGCACAGTGGATGTGAAAATTGCTTTTTAGAGTCAAATTAGTATTGTTTGTTGTACCTTCTCATTTGATATTCTAAGTTCAGTTAAGGACTTTTTTTTTCAGAATTGGCTTTTTATGGATTTATATTTAATTACAATTTTCTGGGAAACTATTAAACTGATTTCAGTACAACTTTTTACTGTCTATATTGCTATTAACTTTAAAATTTTAAATAAGACAACTTTTTAGGTAGTTGCTCCATGGGTGTATATCTGAAACTTATATAACATTTTTTAAAATCCCTATATTTTGATCCATGGCATCTCAGTTTATTTTTTACCATTATTTAGAAGGTACCGTGTATATTTGGTTTTAATTGTTCAACTAACCTTATCCAATTAAGATTTTGTTTTAGAATGTTGAATGAAGAATAAAACTATCTGGTAGCCACAGGGTTTGTATGGTACTTAAGAGTCCTTAAAAGTCCTAGATTTTTTTTGGAATTGATATTTGGTCCTTAAAAGTCCTTAATTTCAGCCAAAATCTGCAGAAGGTCCTTAATTTTAATCAACTGAAATTTGTCTGTTTTTATGACTGTCATTTTGAGTGTGAATTAGCATTTTGGAGGAATATTCTTGGCAATTTGCTGACAAATATTGTTATCTTTTGAATGGGTTCATGGATTATTTGTTCCTATTTCTAATATAAATGGTAGAATACTGTAATTTCATAGTGAAAGAAGTGAAACATAAGCATTTCGAAATTATTTCATTTTTGATTATGAAGAGCTGTTAAACAACTTTTCGCTTTTGGGGATGTGAATTCTTTTATAAAATGGTTCTACATTTGGCGACGTATCAAAATTTTAGCGATTTTAAGATCAGTTTCTATAGAAAATTTTTAATTCTGATATCTGGGAATTTTTCGATGATTTTTCTAAATCATTGTAACATTGATAAACCACATTAAAATAATGGTAATACATTAAACTTATATTAAAATAAAGTATTTTTAATTTTTGGTGTCATAAAGTTCCATTCTGGCCACTTATTATACAATATTTTGAATCTGAACAATAAACAAGGTATAACGCTATAAAGGCACAATTTACGAAACAGTTCTTAGCAAAAGCAAAATAGCTCTGCAATTAATTTAAAATGTCTTTTTAATTTTTTTCATGGTAAGAGTTTTTTTCCATGTAATTGTCACTGAATATTCCGAATTCTCAGAATATGCATATTTCTCTAGAAAATTAATTTGATACTTTTTCCCTCTGATTTTTTTTTTTTCAAAATATTTCTGGCTTTATGCTGTTACAGAATTGGTAGGGATAATGTTTCTTTAGCATTTTAGACATTGCAGCTTGGAAATTTTAGAAGGATTTAAGTCAAGATTTATAGGTTCATGATTCTAGCAGATTCCAGGAAATATGACGAAAAAT